AGGCGAGCTCTTGGCAGGGGTCGGGGCCGTCGTGCCGGTTGCCGGCGGGGTCCGGGGGTGCTGTGGGAGGGCGGCGGGCCCGGCTCTGCACGGCCTGGCCGCGGGTCTCGGCCCCTCCGGCCTCTCCGGGCGCTCCCCGTGCCCGCGGGCAGCCCGGGCCGGGGCTCGGTTGGGAGGGGGTAACCCCTCTGCAGTGTGGGGGCACCGGCGCCAGCCCCCCGGCCTGGGAGCTGGCTCCTTGCGTCTGGTTGTTCCTTTTCCTTACTGCCATTAGCAGTGGTGGCAGGTACCATATTTAAAGTGTTTGTGTGCTGGGTGTGGCACTCAAGGGTTCAGTGAAGGTGTTTTCCTTTACAGGAGACTCAATGAAAGAGAGAGAATTGGAGAGCTGGGGGCACCTGAAGTCTGGGGGCTGTCGCCAAAGGTTCCTGACCCCGAGTAAGGCTTATTCTTTCTTCTTCTGTTTTTTATGATATTGATTATGTGTTAGTTTAATTTACCAAAATGCCTTTTTCCTGCATTGGTCCCATTGCCACAATTCATCTTGTATCAGTTAAATTCTGAATCAACATGAGATTTTTCCCCCCAAGTTATTCCAACATACCAATTATTCAATATGTGATTGATTGTAGATCAGATGACATTTGTCATTGTGACATGGTTCTGAAGGCAGTTCTCGTGCTGAGAATTAACTCTTTAATGGTTTACTCCATTGCAATTATTGACTCAAAATCTGCAATGTGTTTGGTCATATGTATATCTTCGATCTGGAGTACTACAAAATAGATCTTAAATAGCAAACTGTTGGTTTTTTTCAGTTCTGATGAGCATACACCGGTAGAAGATGAAGAGGCAAAATCTAAGAGTAGTTCTTCAGATTCCAGCTCAGAAGGTATTTTGTTCAGCTTACACAGCTTGTTTTGAGAATGAGAAGCTATTGAAGTCTAGAATCTGCTGCGGTTGCTTGCTGGAGGTTTATTGGTTTTGGTGGCTGGAATTGAGTGGGCTGCAGTTCAAGGGAGAGCATTGCCTTGGGAAGATTGGGAAGTACATACAGAGCTAGTTGATTGATCTCTAATGTTATGTTTTAAAAATATTCTAGAGGAAAAGAAGAAAAAGAAGAAGAAAAGAAAGAAGAAAAACCGTAAGGCATCCAAAAGAAAGCGCAGGAAGCATTCTGAGGACAGCGACAGTGAGTCGGAGTCTGAGCAGAACTCCAGTGGTAAGACAGGAGGGTTTCGGCTAATGTGTGAGGGCTGAACACAAACTGACACTTCTGGCTTTTACTGCACACTTGCAGTGTTCTGAAATCACAGAGCTGCAGCATCAATCCATGATCTTTTCTTTCATCATCTTGCTGGTTTTGCCGTGCCTTTTCCTTGAGTGCTTGCAGTCTGGCCTCAGGAAATGGGATTTCTGAATTAAGCATCCATGGGGTATCTCATGACAGAGATCTGTTTGATATGTTCTCATACTGATCAGTACTGCAGGCAGCTTTCTGCTTATTCTTTCTTAATGTTGTTTGGTACCTAAACAGTCACATCTGAGCAGCTGTGTGTACTAGGGCATTCTGGTGGAGCCAGTTCAGTACAGTAAACTACTTAGAGCTAATCATCTCCTTTTGATAATGACATACTATTTTTTTTCAGATGAAGATAAAAAGAAAAGCAAGAAGAGGAAAAAGAAGAGCAAAAAGTAAGTGCCCAGGTTGCTGTGTGTAATTCTGGCTTCTGTTGGCTGGAGAGCAGCTCCACTTTCTTCGCAGGCTCTGAGGGAGTCTGAGCATTCTGGTAATTCAGGCTGCAAGTGCTGACAAATAATGTTGATTTGATGGATTGTGCAGCTTAGACAACTCCCTGCAAGCATAGAGCCACTTTCTAACGCTCTGTGAGAGGTGTAACAGCATGTATATTGTCTTGGCTTCGCTGTTCTCTATGAAAGAACAACAATCTGTATGCAGCCAGCCAGTCTTCCCATAGGTAGAAGTTACCTTGAGAAACTAATTATTTGAGTATGATCCCTAGCAAATTTTGGTAAATAGCATGTCTGTTTGAATTTATCACAGGAAGAAGTATAAGAAAAAGAAAAATAAGAAGAGCAGGAAGGAATCCAGCGATTCAAGTAGCGAAGATTCTGATGATGAAACAGTTCAAGGGGACGATCTCTGGATTGAGAGATCAAGTAGGTTCACCTGACTTTAAATTTGGATTGAAACTTTTTGGTGTCCTTTTTATGAATTCTCTTAGGTCTTGCTGACCTGTGGAACATTTCTGATAACAGAGAACAATGGGTACCATATCAATCTCCCTTATTATTTGATTGTTGCAGAAAATACTGAAGCTGATAGCCTGATTGGACCAGAGGCTCCCAAAACTCATGCATCTCAGGATGACAGGCCTTTGAAGTGAGTAGCCAGCTCTAACAGTACTTTGATCAAATCAAGTAAATCAAGCATGAAAGTTACTGTTCAAAAGGGGTGTTACAACAATATGGCCTGCAGAAGGAGAAATGCTGTGCCAGAAACTTGCAGGCAGAAGTGCTAGTGGTGCTAGCCTTGCCTCTGGCCTGAATTTGGGTAGAAAAGTCTGGTTTATGCTTTTTAGTCTTGATCCCTAGCAAATCAGTTGTAAGGTACCTTTATTCTGATGCTCTGCAGTGTTGTAACTTCAGAGTGTCTTCTTCATTTTTTAATCAGAATGGCCTCAACTGGTAATTTAAGATGTTTTTGCTGGTGTTAGCCGTGAGGAAGGAATGGGCGAGTATGTGGGAAAGAATATAGAAGTGTTTAAAAACGCAGCTGTATTTAATAGTGAACAGGGAAGCTGGATGCACAGGGTCTCTGTGTTTGAGACTGCAATCCTCACTTTTCTTTTTAGCTATGGACACGCCCTCCTGCCGGGTGAAGGTGCAGCAATGGCAGAGTATGTGAAAGCAGGAAAACGTATTCCCCGGAGAGGCGAGATCGGCTTGACCAGTGAAGAGATCGCATCATTTGAGAGCTCTGGTTATGTCATGAGTGGCAGCAGGTATGGTTTTGATGATGGCCGTGGTTCAGTGACGTTTTCAAGAGCTGCTTTCTCTGTTGGCTGGGTGGAAGACTGCTTCCAAGCTCCAGCTGAAAGCATGGAGGAGGAGGTGCTCTGCATGCTTGCAATAATCTATACCAAACTCCCCATTGCTGTAGACAGGTGGTGAGGATGAGTCCTACAGGAATTTCACTTAAATTTTGGTGAGCCAGCAGCTGACACCGTGGGGGGGTAGGTGGAACTTCTGGCTGACTGTCTGGGAGCAGACACGCCCTGAGAGCAGTCAGTTCCTTGCTCTGCCACACTCCTTCCTGGGACGGTTTGTGTGCAAGTTTGGACTCTCTAGTGGAGGTGTCTTTATTTAAAGCCCCTGAAAACACTCAGGCTAGCTGATGGATGGGAGCTGTAGCAGGGCACTCTGCCCATGATGACATGCCCCGTGTTGTCCTCTGCAGACATCGGCGCATGGAGGCCGTGCGTCTGCGCAAAGAGAACCAGATCTACAGCGCCGACGAGAAGAGAGCCCTGGCCTCCTTCAACCAGGAGGAGAGGAGGAAACGAGAGAACAAGATCCTCGCAAGCTTTCGAGAGATGGTCTACAGAAAGACTAAGGGCAAAGAGGAGAAATAGTGCTTTGTTTGCGCTGTGCACCACAGACTGTACCACGCCACAGCTGACCTGTTCCAGTCGTGATTTGGAAAACGCTGCAGGTGCTGCAGCGCCTTTCACCCAACAGGGCCGGGCCCCAAGAGTGGATTACCTGTGTCAAGGAAACAGAGTTACTTTCATCAGGTTCTCTAAGGTGATTTGTTCGCCATCTACAAGGAACCCCTGTAAAGTGAAGAGCTGCAAGGCAAGGAAAGCGGGAACAGACAGGGAAGATTAGAGGTGTCAATGTTCTGCACTTGCTTTGAGTTAGACAAGCAGGAGGATCCCATGGGAAGGGCTTTGTTACATAATACCAATGTGTCATTTTTTTTATTCCATTTATTTTGATTTTTCATTTAGCTTGGAAAAGACAGTTAACAAGCTACTACTAACAGTAGCAAAAATGAAGGAACTCCTGAGTTCCTGTTTAAGATCTAGAACTGTCCACTTTGCTATTTCTTCAGAAGTCCTTTAGATTTAGGTTTTTCCCAAAACAGTGAAGTTTGGTTTGTGGTTCAAACTAGACTTGTAAATATTCTGTAAATGAGTTTGTAATTTAATACAGATGGGCTTCAGTTACTTTAGAGCAAGCAGATTGAAATTGGGGTGTAAAGTAACAGTACCAACGCTCTTCATCTGTGGTGAAGAACATAGTTGCTTGCTTCTTTTTCTCCTATGTTATACATAGGCATCAGAGCAGTGGGGTGCAGTGACTGGAACCCCTGGATGTATACAGATGGCAACAAGGATGTGTCTTTCAATTTATTTGAAATGTTTATGTCTATGAAAGTGTTCTAGATTAAAATCTTATTTTAACTCTGGTAGTATTTTAATTTGGTCTGTTTCAGCAGCATTACGTGGTTTGCTTTAAGCTCTGTACTTGGAGGCCTTGCTCAAGCAGTGCTTATGTGGTGGTTATCTTTGATTCAACTGCATATTTCCAAACATATCCCCTTTGAACGTGTTTTTAAAAACACTTGAGAAAAAGAAAGCGTTTTTTAAAGGGCTTTTGTTCCCCTAAATCCTTTTTTTAATTTTTTTTGTTCCCCTAAGTTTGGCAGCAGAGATGTCTCATATATTGGTGTGAAGAAGATAAAAGTCCGGTTGTCCTATAATGTTTTCCCTGGAGTTCCACAGACCAGGAAATCCCTCCCAGCTGTCTCTTCCCATTTACACTCTGGAACCTGGTTCCATCCTGCTGTACCCACCCGTACCTGCCAGGGACCGTCACATAAAGCCAACTACCACGTCAGGGCATCACTGATTTTGCACAGGTTCCATGCTTTTTATGTATCCACAAAGTAGAAACTCTGCTAAGGAAGAGCCTTTCTTTCTTCATTGTGTTTATTTGGTTCTCCACAATGGAGCACTGGTGATGGTGAATTGGAGCTGCTCATTGGGAACTAAGTCTTTCTATGAGGATGATTTTATTTTCAATAATGTCCTGAAGCCACTTTTCTCTAAACTGAAACTCTTCTGGCCTGGAGGATGGAATAAAAAGAGGGTAAATTGTAAGAATAATATTGAATCCAAGTTTGGCCAGCTGAGAGCTGGTCTTTATTTACCAGGTAAGCCTATCTGCTGCAATAAAGCCCACTCCTAGACCTGGGTAAGCAGGTCTCCTTCCTGGAGAAGGCAGATGGCCACGGGGTGGCTATGCATGCTTGTGGGAGAGTGAAGCTAATGATAAGCAGGGTCATTTCATTTTGCATAGCAAAATTTTGACAGCTGCTTCCACCTCCTTAATGTGACTGCAAACTTACTTACATGGAGCTCCCTGTTTGGTTTTGGGATGGAACAGTTTGCTAGAACGTCCTGAGCTGTGTCGTGACAGAAGAGTAATGATATTTACCTGCGAATCAGCCTGCTGGACTCCAGTCTGAAGAAAACCTCCACAGGCGAGGTCTGCAAGAGAGCAGAGACAGAGCAGAGGTCACCTACAGCCCCTCAAAGGGCGGACATTGTAATTAGGTAAGAGCTACTATCTAATTCTTCAAAAATAACCTCGATATTTGTACAACGTTTCTGATACAGATTAGAATAGTTTAAAGCTTCCTTGAGTGTTTTCTTGTGAAGGCAGACTCAAAAGTTTCAATTCTAAGCATGTGGTATGATGTAAGATTGCTGACCAGCTACGGGATGTTGTGCTGGTTTTGACTGGGATAAAGTTAATTTTCTCCATAGCAGCAGGTAGAGGGCTGTGATTTGGATTTCTGCTGGAGATGGTGTTTATAATTCAGGGATGTTTCTCTTATTGCTGGGCAGTCAGTGCTTACCCAGAGCCAAGGCCTTTTTGGCTCCTCACCCCACCCCACAAGAGGAGGCTGAGGGGGCACAAGGAGCTGGGAGAGAACAGAGCTGGGACAGCTGATCCCAAGAGATGTCCCAGACCATGTGACCTCATGCTCAGCAGTAGAATGGGGCAAGGTTGTGTTGGAGCGGGGTGGAAGGTGCTGCCCAGGGACTGGCTGGGCATTGGTTGGCAGGTGCTAAGTAATAGTTTTCATTTGCGTCACTTGTCTGTCTTAGGGGGTTTTTTTCTCTCTCTTGGTTATTTTTTCCCCTACAACTTGTTACTATTATTCTATATATTTATTTTTTAATTATTTACTCTTTTTTTTGCACTTCCACATCCCACAGCAGGGGTTAGGGAGAAGTGTGTGAGCAGCCATGTGGTGCTCAGTTGCCAGCCTAGGTCAAACCACAGCCTGTTACTAGGGGATCCTTAGCCAGTAAGCAGAAATACCAAGCTTCAGTATGACTAAGCCTGGAGGTAAGAAGTCTACTCAGTACAATTTATTTCCTTTTTTCTCTTGAGCTGCAAGAGTTTATTGTAGAGCTGACAAACTTCAGGCTGATCAGGAAAGGGATTCTGAGACAGCTTGAAGAGCAACATGATGCTCCCTCTCTACTGACCCCTCGTTCTGTAACTCAACTCCACTCAGCCCTACTTGGAGCTGCCCAGGGCAATTGTTATTTGGAAGGGGAAGATGGTCAAAGCAGGAAAGCAGATGTGGGATCTTGCCAGATTCTGTTTGTCAAGTTTGGTCAGTTGATGATTTGGGAACTAACCCAGCCTCCCGCTCTGTGCTCCACTCCCTTTGCCAACTGACTTTGTGTTTCCATAAGGCCACGTTTAACTCTCACAGTGTTGCTCTGGCAATGCCCAGGCCTCCTCAGTGTCTCTGCGCAAGCTGCCAGCTCCTGGCTGGTCTCTCTGCTGCCCTGGCATTTCCCTGCCTCGGGAACTTCCCTGTATCTTGTCCCTTAAAGAACTGGTGCATGCCATTTCTGAGCACTTACATCAGGTTTGAGTTTGGAGATCACTATAACAAAGTAGACGCTTGCTGTTGCTCGTGGGATTGGTTTTCTGCGTGTTGGGATGCCCCAGCAAGCTCTGTAATGGTACCTCTTGCTGTCCTTCAGGTCTTCTTCCTCAAGAAATTCTGAGTGGTGAAGCCAGCTTTCATGAATGTCCCATGTCTGTCAAATAAAGGCATCACACTAAGACTCCCTCTGTGAGAAGGTGTGGCCTTCCTGAGTGGATGGAATTGTCACTCACAGAAATGAGCTCTTCAATCTGCTGCCGCCCTTTCTCCACTGTGAAGTTGTTGCCTGTGGTCCACTGGATAGTTTTGATAACACGCTTGGCTTCTAAAACAGATAAAATGCTGACAAATCCTCCTGGAAAAGAACCCCCAACATATGCTAATAGAGCAAACATAGTACCTTTTTCCTTTTTCTTCAGCTCTGCCTCTGTAGTGCTTCTCTCATTGTCTGCGGGGGTGTGACCTTTGTCCTCTTCCTTGTCCATTGGCTTCACCTTTAGAGAAAGAAGAGCACAAACACAGTGAGACACAGCCTGTCCCAGAGCTGCAGGACCCATCAGAGGAACACGGGGAGCAGCGGCCGGTCCCTCGCTGGCCCCTCGCCCCCGCTCACCCCCCTCAGCGCTGCCCCGGCCGGGCGGGGGGTCCCGGGGGATCCCGGGGCTGTTGTTTCCAGGGAAGGTGTCCAGCCCCGAGGAGCTGCTCCCGGGCCCCGGCGGTGTCCCCGCCGCTGTCCCGGCCCCCCCGCCACGGAAGCGTTCTGCCCGCGTCACCATGGAGAGGCGGTGCCGCCTCCCGGCATCCCCGTCGGCATTCCCTGCGGATACACCGACCCCGGGGGAACGCCTCCCCAGCAGCCGCAGTCTCCCAGAAAAGGAGGACAGTATGGCCAAGAAAAAAGCTGTGGCATCCTGCCAGATTCTCTGTTTGTCATGTTTCTGACAGTCTCGGCAACTGGGGAACTAACGCAGCCTCCGCTCTGTGCTGTGCCGGGCAGAGTCTGAGCCCAGCCCGGCGCACGGAGGGCTGTAGTCTCCCAGCCCTTCAGGGGGAAAGGACCAACAGAGGGAGGCCAGAAATGTTTCAGCATATCACAGTGTGCTGAACTCCCAGCAGCCTCTCTTCCAGAGTGACAAAAGGCTGCTACATGGATTCAGCTGCTAGATCAATATGAGCAAAGTGTAGGTCCTAGTCCTTGTGATCTCCTAGAGATGCTTCCTGTCCAGCTGAGAGAGCATTAACACAGGCCTGGACATTTCTCAGAACTTTGTCTGATCCATGTGACTCTGCACCTTGTTCCCTGCACGTTGGTTGTGGTCGTTCCACACCCCGTGTCTCACAGGGGGTCAGTGTTGGTGGCAGTGTCACAAGATCTGCGTTTCACTCTGACTGCCACACTGGAACAAGGAGGTAAGAGGCATTGTCAAAGCAGGTTTAGGATGTAGCAGAGGCAGGTTTTGGCTTTATTGTAAGTTGAGATTGCTGACTAGTGCTGTGCTGGGAGGGAAGAATCCAAGCTGCAGGAGGCGACACTGGCTATTCATGCAGGCTGCTGCAGTCAGCAGCAGGAACTGCACGTCAGAAGTGGGTGCAAAAATAGAATCAGTCCTCTTGGACTTGGACACACAACATATGATGATGTTCACCATGGCCCCCATTCCCTGTCACCCTGCACAGCTCAGGGGGCAGGAGGTAGAGAAAATCAGGAGTGAAGTTGAATCCAGGAAGAAGACATGGGTGGGGGGAAGGTGTTTCACCATTTGGTTTTATTTCTCATTATCCTGCTCTTATTTGATTGACAATAGATTAATTTCCCCGAGTCGACTCTCGTTTGCCCTTGATAATAATTGCTGAGTGATCTCTCCTTGTCCTTATTTCAACCCATGAGCATTCCATTATATTTTCTCTCTCCTGTCCAGCTGAGAAGGGGAGTGACAGAGCAGCTTTGGTGGGCACCTGGTGTCCAGCCATGGTAACCCCACCACAGCAACACAGATACAAGGGCTGAACACACATATATCTTTATTTAAGAGTTAAATCATTCTCTGTAGACACGTGGATTCTTCAAAGTGCTGCCACCTTGGTCTATGTTCTCCAGACCCTGAAAAAGAAAAAAATCACAGCTATATCTGCACCATTCTTGCCACTGATGTGCAACAGGGCATAGCTGAAAATGCCCGTTTTCAAGCTACACCTAATTACCCAAGTCCTAATTAAAACACAATTAAAATGCACAGCCCCAGAGGCAGATCAGCTTCGGGCATGGAGCCCGACAGCCCCAGGAGTGACCAGTGCGGCCGCGGGAACCCCATCCCAGAGCCCGGGGATGGGGGAGCAGCGCCTGGCTCTAGCCTCCCGCCTCCGGCGGTACCTGCCCATGCCCCAAAAACCTGCCTTGGACACGTAGTACTTGTTGACACCCGAGATCCGCCGGTCCCTTTCCATCAGCGTCCACTGGAAGGGGTAGCGGGCGATCCTCTTCTCCTGCGGGCACAGCAATGCCTGTTACGGTCCCGGGCAGAGGCCCCGCCGGGGTGGAGTCCCGAGGGATGAGGGAAAGGGGGGCCCCGGGAAGGAAGGGATTCCAGGGGGATGCACGGGCTGCGGGGTAGGGGCGGTGCCAGGGGGAAGCGGAGCACCGGGGCCCCGGGGCCCGCCCGCGCTGACCTTGCCGCCGTTGCACAGGCGGTGCATGAAGATGGTGGAGAGGCCGGGGATGCTGAGGCAGACGCCCATGATGGCCATACCGGGCAGGATCTCGTACCACATCCTGCCGGTGCCGCTCCCGGTGCCGGTACCGGTGCTGCTGCGCCGCTCCCGGGGCGCTCCCGGGGCACTCCCGGCCTGCCCCGCGCCCTTCCCGGCCTGCCCCGCGCCCCTCACAACCTGGAGGGGCGGTGGGAGCGACAGCACTGCCGGGGGACCTGCCCTCGGCAAGGAATGAGGCCGTCCCCGCGCTCCAGCCCACTTGATCCCAATCCCGATCCCAACCCTAATCCCAAACTGCGCCCGGTGCCGGTCGCTGACGCCGGCGGGACCGGCGGTGCCGGGCGCGGTGCACGCTGGGAGTTGTAGTCCAGTGGCGGCCCCGGCCCGTTTCACGCGCAGTCTCGCGAGAGGCGGCGGCCAATGGGCGCGCGGGGGCGCGCGGCGCTGCCCTGGCCCGGGATCGGGATCGGGATCCGGAACGGGGCCGGGATGAAGGAGGACAAGGAGAACGCCAGGCCCAAGGAGCGGCGCGGGGCCGCCGCCGGGCCGGGCGCTGTGCTGGGCGCAGGGCCGGGCCCCACCGCCGGAACGGACGGCAGGGCCGGCGCGGCCGAGCTCGACCGCCTGGAGCGGCCCAAGGACAAGAAGGAGACGCTCAGCAAGGTGGGGCCCGCGCGGCGCTCGGGAACGGGCACCCCCCGGGAACAGGCACCCCCCGGGAACGGGCACCACTGGGAACGGGCACCCCAGGACCGGGCAGCTCCCCGGGAACGGGCCCTACCGCGGTAGCAGGAACCACCCCCTCAGGAACGGGCCTCCCCACCCGGTAATGGGGCCTCCCCTCCCGGTAACGGGGCCGCCTGCGGGGACCGGGGGTGGGGGAGAACGGGGCCGCCCCGTCCTCGACACTGCCCCCCCCTGAGCGCCGGTCCCGCCGTCCCGCAGGTGGTGATCCGGCGGCTCCCGCCCAGCCTGACGAAGGAGCAACTGGAGGAGCACCTGCAGCCGCTGCCCGAGCACGACTACTTCGAGTTCTTCGCCAACGACTCCAGGTACAGCCGCGGGCCCCGCCCGGGCGCTCCCGGGAGCCGCCGCTGCCGCCCCCCGGGCCCCGGTGGTGCTGCCTCCCCATCAGCCGAGCGCCCTCGGTTTGTGTCTCCGCAGCCTGTACCCGCACATGTTCTCCAGAGCCTACATCAACTTCAAGAACCAGGAAGACATAGTCCTCTTCAGGGATCGCTTCGACGGCTATGTTTTCGTCGATCACAAAGGCGAGTGAATGGCCCTCAGTGTGTGTTGCTGCTTCCCCGTCTGTGCCGTGTGCTGGTTGAGTTTTGGAGGGGTGGGTGTGAACAGCCACTTAGGGCTTGTTTGGGTTTAGTGCCTTAAATGCATGTTATGCGGTATTTCACAGAACAGAAAACTCCTTATGCTTTGTGGAAACTAGTCTAAATTAACTTTTTTATAGATAAATTTTTAAGTGGATTTTGTCTATGATGTATAAAATCCAGCTGGGTGTATACAAGGCAGCAGGGATGATGATATAAATCAACTGAAGTGAATATTTGCATTGTCATACCTGAGTATCAGGTCTCTAAAGTGAAAGCAGGTACATGCTGTCAGTGTACAAACAAATGAAGCTGAGGTTACTGATGTCACCCCCTGCTACTCCCCTCACCTGTCCTGTGCACTTCCAACAGTGTCACTTATCTTTTGGTCAGTTTTTACCTGAAATTGTCACTTGTTTCAGTTTACGACTGAGTCATCTTGATTCAGTAAAAGGAACAGCTGCTTCTTTGCAGACTGAGTTGTGAAAGTGACTGCTCTGGAGACAGTAATCCATAGGAAAATAGTTGGTTTAATTAATTATCAAACATTCAAGTATTTGGTCACCACTAACCTGTTTTCTAAACACGTGGTGTCATGGTTTAAAATTTCATCTTTCAGAAGTGCCTACATTGGGCAGCACTAAAAGTTCCTTGGCTTGGGCAGTGGAAGGGGCTCACCTGGAACTTTGATTCAAGTGCATATGTCTTACAATTCATCCAGACAGGTGTTCTATGGACAGAACTCGGTCCATAAGATTCTTCTTTATTTGGAAGGGTTACAAGTTCATGAATTCTGCTGTCTCTAAGGTGTGGGGTTTTTTTTATTAAATTGCTTTCAAAATGCAAGAATTTTTTCATGCTATCTAAATAATCTCTTCTAGTATTGCATGTTTCTTGTGAGGACTATCCTCCTGCTTTAGACATGGACAATATGCTCTATTTTATATCTGTTTCATCTCTATTTTAATGTATTCTTCTCTCTCCTCTTAACAGGTCAGGAGTATGCTGCCATAGTTGAGTTTGCACCTTTCCAAAAAGCTGCAAAAAAGAAGAGTAAGAAAAAGGATGCCAAAACTGGAACTATCGAAGATGGTATAACAGCAAGATAGTTTGTTTTGCATGTGTAGATTGAAAATCTTAGCAGTAATTTGAATATGTTTTTACTGTGACATTGTAATTCCATCAATGGGATGTTTGCTTAATTTATGTGAAGCTTTTTAGCACTGCTTTGTCAGCTGCAAGTCTATTAAATGGTTGTCCCAGACAAAGATAATGCAGCAGCTCATTTGAGAGTTACCAACTTATGAAAAGATGGCATATAAACAACCCAATTTATGTAAATCCAACCCAGACTTCCAGCAGTGCACAATGCAAATGCTTTTCATGCTACAGTATATATCTTTTTTCTTTTTCCTTTTTTTTTTCCTCCTCTCCTTGCTTTTCCCCTTCCCTGTAGACCCAGAATACAAGAAGTTTCTGGAAAGTTACAGTGCAGATGATGAAAAATTAACCTCCACTCCTGAAACTTTGTTGGAGGAAATAGAGGCAAGAAACAAAGAGCTAATAGGTATGGAAATCTGTGTACTGTAGTTATATTTTCCTAGAGCACAAAGAAACGTATGTGGTTTGTAATTTGAAGCTGTGATTTCTCAACCTGGAGGAGACTGAATTCTTTTGTGTGCCTGCTTAGTATTTGTTAAACCTTTAGGCTAATATTAGTCAGTGTAGATTTTGTTTTGTTCCTATGCTCTAAATTCTTCTCTAGGTTTAAGTTTTAAATGAGAAAGTTCCTTCCTGTTGCCAGCTGCTGGTCAGATGTTTGTTAGCCAGACCAGGCTGTGGAGTGGCTGCATTTCGGAGGATGCAGTGATGTTTAGTGCACAGTGCTGTGAGTGGTGATGTTCCATGCAGGCACAAGTCAAGAGAGAATGTGGTTGGGTACAATACCACAAAAAATGACCAGGTTGCTCTTTTTAAGCGTATTCCAAGGATATCTTTAAAACCAAGAGAGTCTGGGAAAATCCTAACGCAGACTGAGTATCCCTGTACATAGAGGTGTACTGGGTATCATGTTAGTGTCCTACAGAAGTTTATAGAATCCTAATAGTTGGCACTGTTCAGAGAGGGATCTGGAATACTTGTTTCACTGCCTATTGCCGTATGTGAGAGGAAACAGGCAGGGGAATCCATAAGGATGCTTCACTTCATACAGGGTTTTGTTGTATTGCGGTATTGGATAAGGCAAATTGTTTACATTTGTTTTGTATATTCTCTAGCTAAAAAGACTACTCCATTATTGAACTTCTTGAAAAACAAACAGGTAAGACTTCCCTCCAGAATCTTCTTGTCTGCAAGTACAATTTGCTCATATAAAGCATGGGTGTGGATATTGCAGTGTGTGTACTGATATGTTCCTGCCCTTCCTGTTGAAGAAGGATCTTTTGACCCAACTCACTTGTCAACACCTTGTTCACGTATTTTAAAGTATTAGAGTGTTGGTCCTTATAGGAATGGTGGTGCTTTGTGTACATTCTGGTCCCAGCAAATTGTCTTTTGTGGCGCTGCCAAAAGAGATTTCCATTTTAATGCTTCCATTTTTAGTGCAGTAACAGCTGAGGTCATGGTGGATGATCTTTCTCCTAGCACATAATGTTATTTTAAGTTTTAGCAGTGGAGAAAGTCAGAGTTGGGGCAGATTAAATGAAAATTAGAATGATAAACGCTGAGGCCAGTGTTGTGTTTGAGCTTTTTAAGACAGTACAAATCAAGCTTTATGAGTAAGAAAAAAATACTGCTGCAACATGTTCAGGTTCAAAACAACAGTAGAGATGACAGTTTTTTTTTTTTCTTTTATAGTAGAGGCAGCTTTGAGGTGAGTTATTTCATGGCTTAAAGAGATCTTTTCTGGTGTGGAGATACACTATTTCTCTTTGCTTTTGCACACACAGAGACTGAGAGAAGAAAAAAGAGAGGAAAGGAGAAGGAGAGAATTGGAAAGAAAAAGACAAAGAGAAGAAGAGAGAAGAAAATGGAAAGAGGAGGAGAGAAGGAAGAGAAAAGAAGCAGAAAAATTGAAGAAAGTAGACAGATGCCCAGAAAAAGAAAGAGACAGATCAAAAGAAGAACCAAAGATTAAGGTCTAGAACAGTTCTTTATTATAAACTGTTATGCTCCCTTTCCCCTATTATTTGTATATCAGTCTCAAAATGTGCTTTGAGTATTGTGTGAAAAATCACATGAGTTTGGTGTTAGTAAATTACCAATCTTTTGTAATATTCAATAGTAGGCAATGTAAAGGTTTACATGCTGTAATGCTTCATAGTAATATTTAAACTTTTTGTCATGTGACTGTTGTACATATCGTGGTAAACAGGATTGTGAATTCACTATGGAATGGAGACTATTTTTAAGCTTTCTAAAATGGCCTGGTTTAGGAGAAAAATCCTAGTCTACTGTGTGAATAATGCTTACTCATACACTCCAGCTCTTAGAAATGCTGCTATTTGCAGTAATATTTCCTTAATGTTCTCTTCTTACTGGACTGTGGTTCCTTTGATGCAATTTCGGTGTTGTGCCAGACAATATGTGTTAGAGTGAGCTTTTTAGTTGAGACTTCTGTTTTCTTTGTAGCTACTTAAGAAGCCTGAAAAAGATGAAAAAGACTTGGAGAGAAAAGAAAAATCCAAGAAACTGGAAAAAGAGACTCTGAGGGAGGAAAAAATTGCGAGTAGTGCATCTGCCAAACGATCTGATGGGGAGACAAAAGAAGAGAAGGCAAAAAAGTATTCTAGTACTTGCTGTAAATATATGTGTATCTAATACTTGTTTCCTGATCATAATGAGGCTTAGGCTGCTCTGCTATGTCAATGTTTTGAAATTCCTTTTAAATGCTTTTTCTGATATAAGGCACAGGCTGTGTTCTCTGTGGCAGTGCACATCCCTGTGATTGCAGAAAGCTCTGTGAATTACCTGTGGACAAATTTTAATATTTTTGCAACTCACTGTGAGAACTGCACTAAAGAAGCCCAGATGTAGGTGACTGCAGTAGGCTATGAGCACTGCCCTTGCAATGAGATGATTATAAACATAGTGAGAGGTGTTCTCCAGTTACTAGTCCCTCTAAGGTCTTGTAAAAAGGTCAAAGTGGAAATTGTAGTTCTCAACAGCTCTGTGATCTGTTCGAGGTTCAGTTTTGTCGTGTGAGAAATAGAGATGAGACACAGAAATTCAGGGTTTTCTAAAGCCAGAGGAGACTCAGCCAGCTATGCAAGTAGGAGGCTGGGAAGTGCTAGTGGTCAGTGTCCTCTCTGGCTGTCGTGCATGACTCGGGGTTGTCACAGCCGCCCAAGAGCTCCCTAGAACCTGCCAGTGTGTCGTCCTCCTATTGCGCATTTCCGCCACTATTACATTGATCTCCCGGCTCTGTTTGATGAATCTTTTGAGCTTAATTTTCAGTTTTGTTTTCATACAGATCAGAAGATGAGTGTGTAAAGGACTACAGGGACCGAGATAGAGATTTTGACAGAGACAGAGAATATGAGAGAGCGCAGAGAGAGAAACTGAGACGCCAAGAAGAGGAGCGTCGGAGGCAGAAAGAGCGCTATGAGAAAGAGAAGGTTTTTAGAAGAAAAGAGGAAGAGGTGAAAAAGGAGAGAGACTTACTCAGAGAAAAGGGAAAGAAAAGTGATCTTACAGACTTTACCAGCAGCACGGACAAATCTGAGAAAGTAACCAAAGACGATAAAAAAGAGGATACAATTAAGAGGGATCGTATCAGAAACAAGGTGCTGGATTTCTTTCAATTCATGTGTGATTCATAAGGGTCAGTTTGTGTTTTTTAGGATAAAAGCACTAAAAGGAAAGAACCTTGTGGTTTCTCTGTTGAAACTTCTCCCCGTTCTGGCAACAAACTCTGCCATTACTAGAAGTTGTTTTTTTCCCCGTTTATCCACTAAACTTTGCTAAATTGTTTGTGGTATTTCTTGTCACTGAGTAGGAATTAAGCCAAGATACCACGGGTCAAATTGTAAGACACTGATACCTTTTCATTTGCTGACTTGTACCATGGGCTGTGTCTTTAAGGTGTTGGTAGAACATCAGTATCTCTGCTGATGCTACACGTGCCTGAAAATGCATCTTGAAGTGGAAGTATGATTCAACAGGCTCCTCCAAAGCAGGGACAAGACTGTTACTTGCAGAATAGGCTCAAGAAATAATGTCTTGAGTTTAGTTTTATATGGTCTGCAAATCAGTTTTTGCAGTATCACTGTGCTTTTTTTCTGTGTCACTTAAGACATTGTCAGGTACGAATGAAACTCAGGGTTTTGAAGATTTGAAATTGGCCTCTTTTCTGAGGGTGAGCTGAACTCAACAGGAAACTCTTTACAAATAGCTTCAACTGTGAGCAGTGTTCTTTGTGGCTTGAACAGGGATGTTGCTTTACAACAGAGACAACCTTCATCTGAGACAGTTGAAGTTACGTTGCCACCATGGTGGAGTAATTTAACTCAGAACACCCAGAAAAGTTTGAATTTGAGCCATTTCTAATACCACTGCTGCCATAATAACCCTGACAGCAGGGAGCTATGAAAGAGTCTAAATGGTTCTGGTTTGTTTCAGGATCGCCCAGCCATGCAGCTGTACCAGCCGGGAGCCCGAAGCCGAAGCAGATTGTGTCAGTATGAAGACAGTGCTGCAAAGCCCGCAGATCAGGGAGTGGATAAGAAACAAGAGAGTGAGACAAGTCACACGAAGGAAGAGGAGTGACTAGCATGCAAGCCTTATGTGTTCTGACTGTCTGTGCAGCCAAAGAGCATGTACTACGCAATCCAGAAGTGCCTTCGAAGCGAAGAAGGAACAAAGGAAGAAAAGGGGGCATTGTGCTGTTGGATGTTTCTGGTTAAAGAACCTCAGTTGTAGATTCGGAATTTGAAATGTGTTCTCATTGTATTTTCAGTTATTTGAATTTGTTTTCCCAGCATCTAACTACAACAGGGAAGAGAATCTTTGCTAAATAGAAAGATTTTATGGCCTTAACTATGGTAATAAATGAGTTGTGGTCAGGAGGGGATGACACCTGGATCTAAAGCCAGAGCTCTACTGTAAGGCAATGGGAGCCAGTGTTGGATGCACTTAGGCAGTGCAAGCTTGGAGTTGCCCAGAGGTAATACAGGTGTTGCTACGTTGTGTGGTGCTCCTGCCTGAGGCAGGGAAAGCTAAATGGTGTTGGTCAAGCACTGAGACAGGTACACAGGCTGGGGTTGTTGAGGTACCAGTGGACAGGAGCCCTTTGGCACTTAAGGAGCAGAACATCTCGCAGTGCAGTAACCGTGCTAGGGAGGGAGAGGCCTTCCTCTTCAGTGGTTCTCTGGATAAAGTAAATAAGTTGGAGTGTATGAATAAGCTGGCTTAAGAATGGAATATGTCTTGACAAATTCTCATGTAAAGTCTCCCTACATTGAAATGCTTATTTTTAATCAAATGTAGCTGGTTTGGACATCCTGTTCTTTTCCAGCATCCTCCCTTCTCTAGAGTCTGAAACGTTTTCCCAACTCCTGCCCTCTCGGAACTGCTTCCTCTTCCCTCATAACTTGAAGTGTTGTTTTACAGCCCAGAACGAGACTTCGCCAGTAGCAGCTCCTCCCAAGCTAGCGAATTTTAGCCATAGCCGTTTTTTTGTACTGAACCCAAATAAAACTGCACAAACTCGCTCCTCCTCCTCCTCCGCCGCCGTTCCCTCACTGCGCGCGGGTCTTCCCGGCCGCAAGGGGGCGCCGTGCCAGCGCCGCGGGCTTCGCTCCGCCCCGCCCCTTCCGCCTCCTCTGCCGCCGCCATCGCCGGGAGGCCGCTCCGCTCCGCGCCATGGTGAGACCCCCCCGCGCAATCCGCCGCCATCCGCCCCGCCCCGGGACCCCCGCCGCCGCCGCAGCGCTCGGGGGGAACGGCGGGCCGGCCGCGGGGACGGCGGGGTGGGGCGGGGCGGCCCGCGAGGGAGCGGGAGGGACCCGAGAGGAGGGACGCGCCCGGGCTTGGCGGGGCGGTGCCGGGGCCCCGTGAGGGACTGACCGCTCCGCTCTCTTGCAGTCGTCCCACAAGACGTTCAAGATCAAGCGCTTCCTCGCCAAGAAGCAGAAGCAGAACCGGCCCATCCCTCAGTGGATCCGCATGAAAACCGGCAATAAGATCAGGTATGGAGCGTCCTGAAGGGCTGCGGGCAGTGCAGGCCGAAGGAAGAGCTGATGGCGTTTATGTCTCCAAAAGTGCGGTTTTGTGTCCGTGAGAGCCAGGCAGGGGTGGCAGTGCAGGTGTGTTTTCATGGGATTTCCGTGCCATTTCCTTCTTCTGTAGCGGTTCTGTCCGGTGCTCTGCAAGGGTCTACAGGTGTCCAGTGACGGCACATGTAAAGTGAAAGCCTGAACTGCACCTGTGTGTAATTCATTCCAAATGTTGTACCCTGGTAGTATCTCTTTTCCTGACTGTTGGTCCACTTGGGGCAGTGGTGCCTGTCTTGAGCCCTCTGGTTAAAAACTGCGGCATACTTTGGTCAGAGAGCTTGTTATCTCATCCACTTCTTTGTCTGGACTTTTTTAAGGCAACAGAATTTTTCCTTTTCTTTCTCTCTCTGTGCTAAGCAGTGAGGAGAGCCACAGCAGCAGTGGCTGGCTCAGTGAAACTGAACAGCATTGCCAAGTTCTGTTCCTGTAACTCCCTCCAGCTTGTTTCTCTCTAGGCAGGATTGGTGGTGTGTGCTTACAACGAGGTTCTGATTTAGCTAAATTGCAGTATTTTGAAATACTTTACCGTGGGGCAAAATGATGGGTTTTTGTCGTGTGGCACTCCAGCACCTCGGTGATGATCTGTGTCCGAGCTGTGTGCCAAAGCAGGCTGCAATTGCAGAGCTTCCTGCAGTGGGAGCTCTGCCATTTTCCTGCTGAGAGCAACTCTGTTACAAACACTGTCTGCGGTTTCACCTGCACCGTGGTGAAAACGTTTGTTCTTAACATGGACAAGTACATGCTCACAAATGGATATTTCTCGGGAGAGGCCGTTTCCATGTGCTGCTCTGCTTTCATGTTTTGAACAAATGCGTGTGTGCACTTTGATAATTTACCCTGCTCTTGTCTTAGGTACAACTCTAAAAGGAGACACTGGAGGAGGACCAAGCTGGGCTTGTAAGGGAGACTGTCCTGGGAGCTCTAATGAACACTGGTCTTTCTGCATCAGATTGATACACCCTCAAGTCATTCCTCCTGTGGTGCTGGACTGCACTCCCCAGTGTGGGGTTTTTATAAGCTGGTCTGGGACGTTGATGTTAACTGGGAAAATCTTTTCTTGTATCTGAAACGTGGAGACTGTGTTCTATTAGCGTTCTTTCTTTCAGGCATCGCCATGAGCATTGACAGTGCACGGGCTTACTAATAAATATGGACCTGAACTACTTGGGTGAAATTATTTCGTATATATACATGATAGGATCATAATAGAATAAAAACTAACATTCCTGTGAGTATGTTCTCACTTAGTGTGAGGAACCCTGGCAGCTCTTTTAGGTAGAGTAGGCTGTGTCTTCCTTGTCATTCACTGACTGTAAACATTTGAGAGCAAAGTGTACCAGTTTTAAAAGAAAAAAAGATGTAAAAATCAGACCTGATTTTAGAGGAGTTAAAATGAAAAAAAAATTTTAGAGGAGCTACTCTCAGGTAGGATTGTGGGGCAGGGCAGCTCTTGGAGCCTGTGTTTAAAATCCTGGCTGGGGAGTGGGTGCAGTGAAATAACTGAATGAAACAAAATTTAGCTAAGGGCGAGTATATCCGTCTCCTGCAAAATGCAGTACTATAAACTGTCGCACATCATCATGGGCTGCCCAGGGAAGTGGGGGATTCTCCATCCCCGGAGGTCTTTAAGATGAGAGTGGATGTGGCACTTGGTGCCATAGTCTAGTAACCACGGCAGTAGTGGATCAAGGGTTGGCCTTGATGATCTCAGAGGTCCTTTCCAACCCATCTGATTCTATGATTCTTTGATCTCTGTGTGCTCCCTAGAATATGAAATAACTTGAGCTTGCTTTGGAGCTCTGTGTTGGTTTGATAAGTCAGTCGACGCCAACCACAGGTGCAGCTTAATATAAAACATTCTCTGCAGACAGGTAGTAGCTCGAGACAAGGCAGCTGTTTCAAAAAGGGGAGAGGGGAAAAAAGGGATAAAATAGCTCAGAGTAGTCACTCCAGCTCCCTGATGCTGGTGTTCTCTGCTGGGGCCTGGGGAACCATTTATTTACCTCAGGGAAGTGGAGGAGGTGGCTGTGGCTCTGCTCCCAGCCTCTCTGCAGAGCTGACCCGGGGTAAGTGCTCCGGTCAGCAGGAAATCCCTGACGGTGCAGAGCCCGTCCTGACACTGAGGGCTGCCAAGGTCCCTGGGTTCAGCTGCCGTGGTGGTTCCGTCCCTGAGAGGCAGCTTCCTGAGGAAGCCCCAGGCTGCCACACCTGTGCTGCTGCTCTTCACGTTAAGGTAAATAGATTTACCTCCATGTTGCAATTGGTAGCAAATAATGCTGGGAACATCACACGTTCACACGTGCAACTGCCAACAAATACACGTCTCACTCGTCCCTCCTGAGGACAGTCTGTCCCTCCTAAGCTGTGCTGGAGGGTTCTGTGAGCTGGGGCTGGGATTTTTCCCAGCTTCAGGACTCTGCAGACGTATTATCTAGCTTCCCTTCCTGTCTGGTCAGAGTCTAGACTCTCCTTCATTATCAGGGGGAAGCAGTAAGTCACTGCAATAGGAAAGCACCAAACAGCATTGCCAGAGATGTTTCAACAGAGGCTCACGTGCTGCAGACACTTTGACCCCAATGACTCTTAAATCTCTTCGCTCTTCTCCTTGAGGCAAGTGTTGGGAAATAACAGCACTGCTGAGGGCTGGAGATCTGCCTTGGAGCCCTGGGAACCTCCCCCAGCCTCTCCACAGCATCACTGCTGGCAGACAAAGCTGCTCTGGAGTTTCTCTTTAATTGTGTCTGTGGGGATCTGGCTGAGGAGAAAAACTAATTTTAGGGACTTGAGAATGGAAAGAGTTTTCTCCATGGCATTTGTAGAAAAGCTTTCCTGAGCAATAGATTGAACAATTGATTACTATTTATAAGAAATCTCCCTATTACTGTCCTTACTGTGATATTTTTATCAGATGGAAGCAGTTTCTACTAAGGAGCTGCTTTGGAAAATAACCCCTTGTATTATTTTCCTCATTTGACAATCTGTTTTTTCAAATTGGACAGTAAGGGACAGCACATAGTAAATTTAGTACAAATTAAACTTAGGATAAACTCAGTCTTCTGCAAAATCTTAACCCCTGGTTATGAATGATTTCTCTTGTTCCTGTGGCAGCTCTCTTTGCCCTCTCCTCCCTGTGAGACTTGCAGGAGGGATCAGGGATCTCTGTAGAACTGGGCTAATGAGATAACTGAGACACCTACAGAAGCTTTAAAGAAAAAAATTAAATAATTTGGATGTGTTACTACATTAATTGTGGTGGATACACTGTTATTTTTGAGCGAGAAGCAAATTTAGAGCTGATTGTGTACTTGAGAAATACTTTTTTAAATGTGTCCATATTTCCAAACCACCTGCCCTTCTTTAGGTATGAAAATAAACCATGCAAGACAAAGGATGGGTTATTGGCAGTGGTGTGGGGTCTGGGGCAAACACAACGTGCAGCAGCAGGAGAAAATCCTTTTTTTTGCTCAGTGGAAAAGAACCCAGGCAGAGCAGGGGGGTGTCATTGCTGAATGTGTTTTAACACCACCCGGAGATGCTGAGCTCTGGTCCTGCTCTTTCTGAAGTCCCTGCCTAATTTGTCTCAGCACAGAATACAGGTTTAAACCCACAACCAAAAGATGGGGGAAAAAGCTGCCTTTAAGGGATTTTTGTTA